TAAATCGCGTAGTTTTTCGAGATCTATCCATCGCACGGTGCCGTAGGCGGTTTGGCCCACCAATTTCTAAAAAAAATGCTTTATTAAATAGTTTCTAAGAAAAAACTATGAGAACCTTATGTTTTATTAATGAATTTTTACATTTTTTAATTAAAAAATTGTCCCGTGCATTATTTCATAATCTCTCTTTATAATTGGTCAAATTACTTAGTTATGGTAAATTTGGGAATAATTAATGATGGTAATAGAAATCCTAGAAGAATATAGAATCGAAGAATATTTAATTATTGTTATATTATTATTGTGACTCACGGAATACAATACAAGAATATTTAATTATGGTTATATTATTATTGTGCCTCACGGCCATTATATACTAACAGAATTTGAAAAGAAACTAATAGTAATAATAATATAATAATAATATAAGTGGTAAAAATAATATCTAAAAGTAATTAAGTGTTAATAATAATAGTAAGAATATTAACATAAGAATTATAACATAGAATAAATCGTAATAATTAATAACTATAGTCTATAATTAAATTTGGAATTGTCAGGAAATATAAGCGACCTCTGGTGAAATTAACTCTTAAATAATTATATATCGACTTAAATACGATTACATACGGACTGCCAGATGCTACAACGCTACCTATGCGCACCGAATACCCCGTCCAGGTCATATGTTAGATATGCTATCGATAGTTGCAGGAATTTTATGTCTACTTTAAGTTTTTGCTCAGTCAATTTTGTTCATAGACTACAGAATTTATTAGCACATACTTTAGCTACTTTAGCTACTTTAGCTTTAAATTCGACTACAGCTATGTACTAGGATGATGTCCCACCAGACTCTATTTCAGTTTATCTATAAATACAACCACATTGGTTGACCTCCAAAAAAAAAAAAATATCGATTTAAATATTCTTAATATATTACAACAATTCCATTCCGTGCATCGCAAGGGTGAAAATACTAGTTTATTCATAAATTGTACCCATTCAGTTAAAAAAATTGTGTTTGGAAAAGATTTAAGTAGCACTTGTTATTGAAAAAAACTCATAGTATAATACAATTCAACTTTTTAAGGAATACATACGCGCTCACTGTACTTAATGCAATACATACGCGCTTCCATTGGCATTGAGTGTTTATCATGTATTGTGCGGACAACCCAATACAAACTCAATGCTTTTATCAGTTACTTGGAGTAGTATTACGTATAAAGAGTTACAATATCGATCGGCATGGTAGAATTATATATATGTGTGCGCGCGCGCGAGATAAATTCAATCCACTCTGTAGATATTCATTCGGATGAATTGAGTTTTTTGGGTGATAGCTAGCGGGTGGTGGGTGGTGAATTTTAAAAAATAAATCCGCAGTGGGTCGAGCTGGATCAATCATGCACCACGGTGCATGATCAATCATGCACCGCGCGTCCTTTTGTTAAATGAAAAGAAACGGTGTTTGTTTTCCGCCGTTTCGCACCCTTTCGCAAAAAAGTAACCTGTTATTTAGTGTCATTTTGTATACACTGCAGTTTCAGATCAACACAACTACAGTTTCATTTCGATATAACTATAGTTTCATTCGATATTTATAGACTCAAATATGTGAAAATGTTATTTAATTTTATTTTATATACACTATAGTTTCATTAAAACACAACTACATGATCATTTTGATATAATTACAGCTTCATTGTACAATATACACTCAAATATGTGAAATGTTATTCATTTTCATTTTATATACACTGCAGTTTCATTTCACTATAACTACAGTATCATTTTGATATAACTGCCGTGTCGGTTTAGATATACGGTACAATATACACTCAAATATGTGAAATGTTATTCAATTTCATTTTATATACACTGCAATTTCATTTCACTATAACTACAGTATCATTTTGATATAACTGCAGTGTCGGTTTAGATATACTATAGTGTTAGTTGGTGTTTAATACGCCAAACAAGCGGATTCCGTTAACTATAATGGCGGGCCGTTTCTTTACACTTAAAGAAACGGCGCTGTTTTTTACCGCGATGCATGTGCATCGCGGTAAAAAACAGCGCCGTTTCTTTAAGTGTAAAGAAACGGCCCGTCATTATTGTCATATAACGACTGGTCGGAAGTAGGGTGGGCCGAGAAAGTATAAGGATGGTGAATGTAGTCCCTTACCCATATATTTTCATCTATCCCTATGTGCGTATGTTAGGTATGTAATATCTATATCAACCTAATAAATTTTACTTTGAAAATGGAAAGCTCTAATGGCTCATCACTTCATACATTCCATCATATCAAACATAACCTAAGAGAATAAAGAATACAATATGATGAGGATTGCATAAAAAAAAAATGAGATCTTTAATTTCTAGCTGGTCCCAACAGCTAGTCTTGATTATGGGTTTTTGTTTTTCTTTTTCCATGGTATTGGTAGGGTTAGAATTAAGCCTCTCCCCTCCACCACATATACCCTCCCACTTGCATGCCAACAATAATCTACATGAGTAAATTCCAAGCATGGGATCTCATCTCAGCAGGCCATACCAAACTCCATTATATATTACACCCAAACAGATGAGAAATATAATATATGGAATTTGGGAAACAAATTAAACTGGTAAGCAATGAGTGATAAGTAGTGTGTCTGTATATATATATATATGTATAATCATAATCAGGTGAGAACCAACCTTAACCTACAAATTTGTGAACTTCTGAAGGATTGCACCGCAGCTACAACATGATTGCACCGTCACGATTCCCAAACATGCCTTGAGGACCTTGGGGTGCAATCGTATTCGGGTGCAGTGCAATCATATAGTAAGTGCAGTACAAATTTTCAGAAATTTGCTAATTGGCATGTTAAGGTCAGTTCGCACCTGATTATGTATATATTTGTTTCTTTTTTCAATTTAGTTCTGTCTGCATTAGTGTTTGTCTGACTGTGCATGATAATAACCTGTTTTCTATGCATTACTATGTTGACTACTCCCACATATATATAAAGTCTAATAAGTTAATAATATATATCAACCCCATCTACATTTTTGTGCTTTCTAGCTTGCACTCTTTGCACACTTCTGATCTTTTGGGTCTTAAACACATCATATTTCATTAGTATTCTTCTTCATCTCAAAACGCATACATTCTTGAAAGCCCAAAGGTTTCTTCAATTCCCAATTCACAACTTCAGATCAGTAGTGGTCATCTAAATTGGTATGTTTTCTTTCCCCTAAAGACTCTTATATCGAAACCACTTTTTCTGGGTTTGCCAACATTTAACTGATATCATGTTTATCTTCTCTGTTGATTCCTGCTTAATATGGTGTAACCAACCAAAAGGTTTTTTTCACTTTATAGTTGCATTAGAATTGAGGAAAAGGAAAGATTCTCTTTTGTTGTTAGCTTGATTTTCCTTTATATATGGAATAGTCAAGAACTGGCAAAGGGAAAAAAGCATTTCAGAGCCTTACAAGTTTTGTAAGATTCTTGGGGTTTGTATGATGGGTAGATTAAGAGGAAGATTAATCCTGGGTGATAGATTATGGGCAGTGACACATGATCGAGCCTTGACAGATGACAGTCATATGTTGATGGACTTAATGTGAGCATTAGACACTGATTCTCCTACTTAATGAGTAGCTAAGTCACTGTGATTTATTCCTTCATTATTCTGTCGGGTCAATTGCAAAGTTACACCCAATGTGGGTGTTCTTTGTGACACTATGCATTAATTTTCCCATCTAATGAATAATTGAGTCACTTTGATGTACCCTTCCACTATCTTGTCGGGTGGGTCATTGGAATTTGGGAACGAGGGAATTTTGCTCTTTGTGGAGAAGAAATTTTTTTGACCTGAATATGGGCATGGGCGGTGCACGTGACTTACAGTACAAGGAAATATTGGGATTTAGGGTTTCTACACGCATCATATATATTCCTTTGGTTGCATATTGTTGGCATTGGAATCTAGAAAGTTGACTTTTGCTAAGCAACAAATGCTGATGAGGCTCTCTCTACATGCATTCTGCTCCCTTGGTTTCAATGATGATAAGATTTAGGAGGTTTTTCCCTTTTGTCAGAGTGGAAAGTGCTTTATACACAGCTAACCATCATGAATACAATGTTTAGTACAATGCAGGCCATTTTCTTTTATAAGTCAGCTGTAATGATTCCTTAGGTTAATGAAATCAACCCAATGATGTAATGTAATGTTACATGTTTCTTCTTGCTTGCCTCTTACTTTCTTGCTATATGTTCTTTTGGGAACAATTTCCCAACTTTCTATTCTCATTCTTGATTCTTAGCTAGATTGTGTCTTCTACAACAGTTCTGTTAGGATCTACGCCAAAAGCTATAGCTCATAGTGAGGACGTAACTTTATTTATTTGTACCGCCACATTTTCGAGAGTCAGGATGCTGGACTTGACCCTTCATCCTGGCCTTCGTCCAATAATAATTCTCCTCCCCAGCACCTGTTAGTCTTAATTGCAGGGACTCAAACCCGTGACACTGCTTGTTAGGATGCTCGTAGCGAATGCCCAACTTTATTGTCCTATATCGCCACATTTTCGAGAGGTAGGGTGCTAGATTTGACATTTCATCGGCCTTTACCCAACAATCCCCTAGCCACCAATTGTTGAACTTGGCCCTTCATCCCGACCTCCACCAACAATTCCCTCTCTCAGCACATACCAGTCTTAATTGCACAGTTTACTCTTGCGAGGCTCGAACCTGTGACCTGACTTTGATAGCACTTGTTATGACGCTAATAGTAAATTCACAACTTTATTTCTTTATACCGTCACAGTTTCGAGAGGTAATGTGCTAGACTTGGTCCTTCGCCTACCCCGCTCAACAATTCCCTAGCCACTAATTTCTTGGCCCTTAACCCGACCTCCACCTAACAAGTTCAGACTCTTAGAAGAGATTAAAGTTCAATTATACTTAGTACTCATTAGCCAAGTTATCACCAGAATGTAGTGAAGTATGCTAGAGAGGATCTTGAACTCATACATATGTTATATGTAAAGCCAAACCTCAAATCCTAGACAGTGAAACAGATTTTGAGGTTGTCTCATACTCTCATTCACTGTGGTCCGTCCATTCATACTGGTCCCCATTGTGTCCATCAAAACTCAAAAGTACAAGTCCCTAAATGAATTCCAGTATGGTATAGTGTGGACTTTACCTTAAAAAGTTGCAGTAATGTTCATTTAAAACCAACCTTATCAAGCTCCATCCTTTATCTCGGTTTGTTTGTCTGGGGAAAAAGATCAATTCTCCAGAGATAGCTTTAGTTCTTTGTGGTAAGCCCTCCTCCTTCACCGTGTTTCATCTCAACCGTTGATAGTGCAAGACACCCAAAAAGTTCAACTCAGTGGCATATATATTATATTGCTTGTGTTTCTTCCCATATAGAGGCTTGATTCTCTAACCCAATTGTACTGTTAGTTCTTCAGTGTAATTGATTCTTGTTTCTTGTTCAGTTTGCAGACCTTTTTTCACATTGATCAAGTTCTATATATACAGTTATATAGCAAAATAAGAAATGAAGTTTATGAAAATTGGGACAAGACCAGATGCCTTTTTCACTGAAGATGGTACTAGGTATGTGTATATGCAACTGTAACATATGTATATATATATAGTTTGATTATTGAGTATATATATGGCATGTGATATAAACTTGTGATCTTCAAATAATGCAGGACAGTGATTTCGGATGTGCCGGGTGATCTTACAATCACTATCAACAGCATCACCTATCTTATTCACAAGGTATATATGTTCAAGATAATCTTTTTCTGTCATATTCAATTAACATGCTGTCTTTTTTCCATAGTTGAATGAAATTGAAGCATGTGCTCCATCTCATTCGAACCCATGACCTTTAGCATGACTCTAATACTAAATTGAAGCATGTGCTCCATTTCAACTAAAAGCTGATAGTTGGATTGCACATTAATGGTTATATGCTCAACAAATGATGTTAGGCCGAGGCAGTGAAGGGCCAAGTGCAGCATCAGGTGGTTAGGGGATTGTTGGGCAGAGGCCTGAAGGGTCAAGTCCAGCACCAGGTGGCTAGCGGATTGTTGGGCGGAGGCGGTGAATGGCTAAGTCCAGCACTAGGTGGCTAGGAGATTGTTGGGTGGAGGTCTGAAGGGCCAAGTCCAACACTCTGCGAAAATGTGGTTGTATAAGGAAATAAAGTTGTGTTTGGCTACGAGCGATAGCTTTTTGGCGTAGTGATAAGCGTTTGATCCTAACAAGTGAATATTGTGTTTCGTTGCAGTTTCCGCTTCTGCCAAAGTGTGGCCTCTTACAGCGGCTCTGCTCTAGTGCTGAGGATTCTGGGAATATCGCGCTCGAATTGCATGATATCCCGGGGGGAGAAGAGGCGTTCGAGCTGTGCGCCAAGTTCTGCTATGGGATAACCATCAATGTGAGTGCTCACAATTTTGTGCCTGCCTTCTGTGCAGCCAAATTCCTTAGAATGACAGAGGCATTTGAGAGAGGAAATTTGGTTGTGAAACTCGAGGCGTTCTTCGCTAGCTGCATTCTCGAAGGGTGGAAGGACTCGATTCTGGTGCTCCAAACGACTCAGAAGTTAGCCGAGTGGGCAGAAAATGTTGGCATAATCAGAAGATGTATAGACTCCATTGTTGAGAAAATCTTGACACCTCCACTTAAGGTTAAGTGGTCATATACTTGCAGCAGGCCAGGATATGAGAAATCAGTCCCTAAAGACTGGTGGACAGAGGACTTATCCGTGCTCGAGATCGAGCTCTTCAGGTGTATAATCACTTCGGTTAGGTCAACAAACGCGTTGCCACCGCAGCTCATAGGCGAGGCGTTACACGTCTACGCAACCCGGTGGCTCCCAAACGTGACAAAGCGTCTGCCATTAGCCACCGGGGCGGACAGAAAACGCAGCATTCTTGAAACCATTGTGAGCATGATCCCGGGTGATGGGGGATCGGTTCTGGTCGGGTTCCTTCTGAGACTCGTTAGTGCTGCAAACTATCTAGGTGCATCTATGGTGACGAAAGCCCAGCTCATAAGACGATCGGGCACACAACTCCCCGAGGCCAGGCTAAACGACCTGTTGCTGCCATCACAAGATGGTGGCAGCAGTACTTGTGATGAAAGCTGTTGTGCTTTCGATGTCGAGTTGATTGGCGTCGTCTTAGACAGCTTCTTGAGGCAGTGGAGAAGGCACGTCCCGGGGGAAGGCGAAAACCATTCGTTGAGATCAATCAGGAAGGTAGGGAAGCTAATTGACACTTATCTTCAGGTTGTTGCCAGGGATCCTAAAATGCCAGTGGAAGAAATGGTTTCTCTAGCTTCAGCTGTTCCAGATATTGCCAGGCCTGTTCATGATGAACTTTATCAAGCAATCAACACCTATCTCAAGGTATAATAACATCATAATAAGCTAATCAGCTAATACTAAGGCCCTGTTTAGTTAATTAGCTTTTTGCAACTCCAAAAGGCTAAAATTCAAAAAGCTACTCCAAACAATTTTTTCAATTAGCTTTTTGAGAAAAAAAAAACCTATACCAAACAGCTATCAGCTAACAGCTAATTTACCAAACACTTTTCTACAATGTTATCAACTATTTATACCCTCTAATTAACATAATCAGCTAACAGCCATTTTACCAAACAGGGCCATTTAGTCCTCAATTGTAACGATTTTGAGGTGATGAAATTCATCGATCCTATATATCCTGCAGATTCATCCTGATCTAAGCAAATCTGGGAAGAAGCAACTGTGCCGGATTCTGGATTGCCAGAAACTATCTCCTCAAGTATGCATGCACGCTGTGAAGAACGAACGGCTGCCATTGAGGACGGTGGTGCAGCTGCTCTATTTTGAGCAGGAAAGAGGAGGAGGCACCAGAACCACTACAGCCAGTGAACTCGCATCGCCCAGCATTCAACGCACGCCAACTCTCAAGGATTATGGCCTCATCAGAAGATTGAAGCTGCAGGGTTCCGATGATAACTGGAGAATTAGAAGAGGCCCAGTTCGTGATGATGATGATAAGGCAGAATCAAACAGCAGCAGATCAAGAATAGTAATGGAGTCTGGGAAGAAGGGAAGGGAAATTGTTGAAGAGGGGACTAATAAGATTCATCCTCGTACTCAAAGAACAGTAGTGCATAAACATATATAGCATAGAGGCAAAGGAATTCAGTGAACACTGGGTTTCATTATTGAATTGTGTGGGAAGATCGATATATATTCTTTGGTCTGATCGGAAAGTCTCTTAGCGTCTGATCGATGATGGTTTGTATAAATAGCTGTTTAGCCAGTCAATTAATGCTTAAAGAGGATGGGTGTCAATTTGATACAACATATATACAAGTTTGATGAGTAGATATATAGTTAGTGCTACTTTAGTACAGATTTGTGGTTTAATTGTGAATTATATTGTACTCACTATTATTGATGTTTTGCTATAATATGTAAATTTATGAAATATTGGCAAGAATGTGAAAAGAGAAGAAGAATAGAAGATAATAGGTCAATATTTAGAATGATTTTTTAACGAGCTGTTTTAAATTGTGATTAAGTGGCATAGGGCGACTCTCGTAAGTGGCGCAAATTATGCTGTGCAACCGAATGCACCTTGCAAGGTGCATACGGTTGCAAAACGGCCGTTTTGGTTAAAAAAACGCGCATCCCACTTAAAGAAGAAATCAGGTTCGATTCCCGGCAATAACATTTTTATATATCCAGAAATTCATAACTATATAACCACAATTTCATAACTATATATCCACAATTTCATAACTATATATCCACAGTGAATGAATGAAGTAAATATCCACAATGAATGAATGAATGAAGTAAAAATCCACAATGAATGAATGAATGAAGTAAAAATTCACAATGAATGAACTAAATACACAATATATGATTGAACTAAATATCCACAATGAATGAACTAAATATCCATAAATTCATAACTATATAACCACAATTTCATAACTATATATCCACAATTTCATAATTATATATCCACAATAATGCTATTGCTGAGAGTCGAACCTGATTTTTTTTTTAAAAGTGGGACGCGCGTTTTTAATCAAAACGACGTCGTTTTGAACCGTATGCACCATGCGCATGGTACATTCGGTTGCACAGCATAACTATTGCGTAAGTGGGAGGTCAAGCTAGCTGTTTTTAAATTATGAAAGCCAAAAGGCCTATTTTAAATGAAGGGAAAATTGTAAAAAATGCCCCTCTATAATATGTCAATTATCAATGTCACCCCTGAATTATGAGTGGTGTAAATGTTGCCCCTCAATTATCAAAATGGTGCACATATAGCCCCTCCCGTAACGGACCTGTGGGTCCCCATTAGTGTACAATACCGTTAAGTCGGAGTAAATATGTAATTTAACGGTATTGTACACTAATGGGGACCCACAGGTCCGTTACAGGAGGGGCTATATGTGCACCATTTTGATAATTGAGGGGCAACATTTACACCACTCATAATTTAGGGGTGACATTGATAATTGGCATATTATACAGGGGCATTTTTTACAATTTTCCCTTAAATGAATGTATCTAGACATCTTTTAGTTATTTGAGCCTTTGAGGGGAGTGGGCCTAAAGCAAATAGAGGAGAATAGAGTGAAAAAGAATATTATTCTATTTTCATTTTTTCTGAAAAAGGTTATTAACAACGTAATATAACAAAAAAAAAAAAAAAAAAAATCATGAAAAATGTTTATCAAGTGTTCTTTATTATGTCCACTTAGTAATATGTAATCAATTTAGAAGTTTAGAACCGTCAAATCAAAATTTATTTATTTTTGTAAATTTTAAAATAGTTTAAATTTAACAATTACTTTATTTTTTTCAATTCTGAATCCTAACAAGAATCATTTTTACTATTTCAATCCAGTTAATATAGTGTCTGGTTCAGTTCAAATTAAATTGTAGTCATCTGATCCCTACATATAAACAATAATTTGTTGAATAAGAAAAATAAATGAAATAATTAATTTAAGTATAAAAATGTTCATTTAACATCAAATATGAAAAAACTGTCACTTTTAAAATAATTGAGGCGGTAATGTGAATGCATGAATAACTCAAAAAGAAAAAGTGCTATAAGTCTTTTTTTTTTTTTTTTGTGTCAACCACACATTGTGGCCCGAGTTTTTCTCTGTCCGGTTAACGATCCAGGTTCACCCAGTTCGCTTCGAGAGGCATAGAAGCTGGTCCAAAGGGAATCGTCACTTGTGGAAATTGAACTCAGGTTATCCCGAAATTCTCCCCCACAAAGAGAGCTCATTTGCCACTTAAGAACCCTGTTGGGTTGCTATAAGTCTATAATTCATGAAAAAATGTTATTTTCCCTAATAATAATAATAATAATAATAATAATAATAATAATAATAATAATAATAATAATTATTATTATTATTATTATTATTATTATTATTATTATTATTATTATTATTATTATTATTATTATTATTATTATTATTATTGATGCAATTTGAGAGCTCTTATGAAGGGATTAACCGTGCAAGCTTGTTCATGTCCATCGTGAAGCAACGTGACGTGTTTCACTCAAGATTTGGAACATGTGCATCCACAATAGTTAATTTTTTGCACAAATTTTAAGATACCACTTAAGAAGATGGAGAGGGAAAAAAAATTAAAAAGAAAAGAAAATGAATTTTCAAAGAAGAAGAAGAAGAAGAAGCAGAAAGTAAAACATCTATGTTAAAGCTCTCGGCTAGGCGTTGTTGTCTCCGCAACTGGCTTACACGCGGAAGGGGGTGAATTTCTTTTATTTTTGGGTGGGTCTCACTTTGTAGTAAAAAATCAAGTTCTTAAGTTAGGCAATGGATCGGATTTTGGATCAGATTTTATGAAAAAGTGAGTGATGTGGATGAGAGAGAATAAGTGATGTCTTCTTGCAAACATGAGTTTTTTGTGGGACCCGGTGAAGAGAGAAAGAGGAACGGAAATATGCGCTCGCTACACGAACCCAGCCGAGCGTGTCAACCCCTTTGATTTTTTTGTGGCATCAGATCTTTTTGTTTTCCCCTCTTTTTTCCTTCTTCTCTCCCTTTTCTCTCTTTACTAGTTGTCATCTCAAAAACTACATAAAAAATCTCACTATTAAGGATGTCCTACCTCAAATCTTCTCTCTCCTTTCTTTCTCATCCACATATACAAACCTACTTACAAAAACTAATAAAAATCCCCTATTGAAAATGCTCTGTAAGAATTTTCAAAATTGCTAGATGGCCTTTTTCCTATGTTGATTGCATATCCGGTTGGGATTGCATAACTTTGCTACATGTAATTTTTATCTTTTAATGGTATCTTTAAATAAATTAAATTATTTAAAAAGTTATCTCTAAAATTAAAAATAATTTAAGAATAATTAAATGAATAAAATAATAGACAAATATCTGTCATTTTACATGTTATTAGTTAAAAATATAATATTAATTTATCAAACGAAATTTTACAAATGACTAATACTATCAATTAATCAAAATAAGTAATACAATAACTATCACGCAAAAATCAAGAGTTAATTACTGATTTGATCCTTCAACTTTGAGGATTTCACCACTTTGGTCCTCAACTTTCAAAAGTGACCAATTGAGTTCTCATTAACTACATTCTAAGTTCCACAGCCCCACATACGAACAAAACCTTAGTTCCCCACATAGAATATTCTTTGGTCCCAAACACATACAATATGATAATAACATAGGTCCTACATCAGTCAATAACGATAACAGCAAACCAAATTCAATATAAATGCACATAAACGCATAAATAACAAACAAAAAAATGAAGATAATCATACCTGCATTGTACTTCGACGCACCATTTCTTGTTGAACCCATTAGCTTATACAACGATTAGACGTGGAGTTTTGATTTTAGGTGAAAATCTATATGAATGCTCCAAATCTACGTCATAGTGTTTGCGATTAAGGCTTACAAATTTGGGGGTTTTCTTTAGTCTGTAATCTAAAACTGCTCGCAATGGGAAGGAAATACACAACGAAGAATGCTAGAACAATGAAATTACGTTTCTATCCTCTGTTTTAATGTCTACCAAACGGCTGTTACCACTTAGGACCAAATTGGTGAAAAATAGCATAGTTGAGGACTCAATTGGTCATTTTTAAAAGTCAAAGACCAAATGTAATTTATATTGCCAAATATTAATGTTTAACAATATTCAATGAAGTTTACATATTAAAAGAAAATCAATTCTACATCCAAGCTCATTGGTGGCAATTCTACATTCATCAAGAACGAACGCCATCGTGTTGATGGGTTGTGTGCCTGCAACAAACTGAGAACGAAGAAGTTGGGCAGATTAATCAGTTCAAAAGTTGAAGAATCCCCATTCATCTCCTCTGTAATGGGTTTCTCATGTAGATCTTCCTTGACACCACTTTGCTCCAGCTCTTCCTTTATCCTTCTAATTTCCATATCCTTATCTTCAAGCTTTTCTTGCAACATAAACACATGCAACCATATTTAAACGAATTCGTAAATTTGTTATGTAGCAATGTTTTAGAACTCAGCCACATTCTTGAAATATCAGGGAAAATGAATAAGCAAGTGACTACTAAGCTAAAGTCACTGCAAAAAAGGTATGCACAAGTAAGACTTAGGCAGTCTAGCAATTTGTAAATTTGTTATGTAGCAATGTTTTAGAACTCAGCCACATTCTTGAAATTTCAGGGAAAATGAATCAACAAGTGACTACTAAGCTAAAGTCACTGCAAAAAATATATGCACAAGTAGGAATACAGACTTAGGCAGTCTAGCAAGTTCTCTTCAATGTAATATTAGCTAATTACAAACCAGTGTAAACTTGCATGAGAAATCACAAATAGTTTAGAGTCCATACAAAATTTCAGCATACTCAATTTTAGATACACCATTAGAAATCCAGCTACCAATTAAAATAAAACACGAAACTACTTACCGTTATCTCCACTCAGTTTAGACTAGATGATGAATTTTGCTTTCCACTCCCTTCTGAAGATTGGTGCTTGCTTCCTTCATCGGGTACCTACATTTCATAATATAGGCTCGATTCTAAATACTTAAATGAAATCAAAAGTGTTTGCACAACAATATAGAAATGCATACAATCCGCTTTTCTTAATGTATAACTAATATCCTAATGGCTCCCTTGGGTGGTGCTAACTGCTAAGGGTGATGTTCACTTCAATTAACTATTTAACACTGCTGAAACTTCAATGACCAACACCAGCCAGCTATATTCAGCAGTTAAAAGAATTCAGCAGAAAAAGTATTCTAATGAACAATTAAAAGAATTTCAAAAAGCCAAAAATCAGTATTTGAAAAGAAAAAGTATGTACTTACTGGTTGAGATGTTTGGTTAAGGAAGGTAGCAAATTGTTCAGGAACCTTGCCAAAAGACTTTTCCAAAAGAAGCAACAAGAGCCCCTCCTATGGCCTTTTGCATATCACTTTGAACTTGCAATTGAGCTTTAGTTGCAGCTAACTCTTTCTCCAAAGTGGACACATACTCCTTCATTTGATTATCATTAGACGACCAAGGCATCCCATTCATCCTTGAAGTATTGTTAAATACCTTAGATGGGCATGGTCCAAAACCTAACCCACGAACACGTCCATTATGTTCTTTTCCAAAGGTTTTGCCAACAGGGTCATCTTGTGAAACAAATTGTGATTGAGAAGATGAGCCTTGATCCATTTCATTTCTGATTTTTTCCTGCATTAAACAAATATCAATTTGCAGTGTAACATCTAACTCTATTCAAAGTAAATTAAAACATACTTACACTGATAATTCTACATTCTTCATTAACCGATGACCCTCTTTTTACTTTGTGGGTATCAATCCATAGTTCTGAGCGATTAACACTGTGCCCGAGCTCAATTTCCTTGTATGAAACTTAAATTGTTAGTAGTTAAGAAAAAAATAAATATTCAACTTAGTTAATTGCAAAAAAAAAAAAAAAACAATTGAAATACCATCTCAGCCCTTCTCCTAGCAAAGCTCTTTGATCCACAAGTATGTGCAATTTTTTGTTGTTTCCTACTTTCAGCATTTTTTCGGCACATTTCCTAATAATAGAGTATAATACTAATACATTAGGCAAATATGACCACAATAATAAGCAAACAGATATTAGAAACATTACCTTAGATTTTTCAGACAAACGATAGTTGACAAAACTTGACCACTGGTCTCTATGAATTCCGATTGGACACTTACTAATCAGTTCATCTCGGTTTGACGAAGGATCATAGAACTCTATCCACAACCTAGACTTGAAGTCCTTCCATTTCCTCCCAATATTTTTAAGTGTCCAATGTTTTGCAATCACATCATTTTGGTAAATTTTGGCTTCAAATCATGGCAAATGTAATTATTAGCATTTATCAGAAGTTATAAACTTTAGTGCAAATAGGATCACTTTATGGAACAAAATTTGGTCCAAGTAGACTTATCATTTATACACACAATACTTTGTACAGGAATAAAAATCAAGACTTCACCTAATGTTATGGACAACAATATACTATAGAATTTTGATGATTATTTATTACCAAAAATGGGAAATGTGCTGTTCTGCTAGGTCTTCCAAAATCCTGGAAAAAAATACTTTTTTTTCTTCTAAAAATATTTTATTCTATGTAAGTTACACCTCAATCAATTATCTATCATTGCTGAAATTAAAGGAAAGGGGTGCAACCAAACCATAAGTAATTAATTTGTGCACAAAATATCAAATGGAGGAGCTAGCTAGCTATAGCCTAAGTATGATTGTCATCAGATCAGACGACCTAAGTATCCTCACCAATACCTTTCGAATTAATTTCCTCACAAGTTTTGCCATTTGTATCTTCTCTATGCCACTATCTAATATACATTTGTAAGGCTAACCTGCAGATTTGACGACTGTAATACCACATGAAAGCATTGAATCCATCTATAATTCTATAGTTGAAAGACATGAAATGCATAAGTTTACATTTTTATTCCATATTTGATTAATTGAAGCCTCTAAACAAATTTTTTATCATAAGCTGCCATCCAATAACTTCATTATCAGTGCTCATCAATAATATGGGAGAAGAGAAGAATACACATTTATTTTTTGAATGTAACATATAATTGAAACTATGTTGTTACCTTGATTATTTTGGAAAGATATCTTCTTTATATTGCTTTGGCATCAATCTCCAATCAGTAAAATTGATTGGAAATGAGCTACTTTCCTGTGCCAACCCTGCAAGTGTTCCAGTATATAATCCTGATGCTTCAGTGAATGGTGTATCAAAGTTGACAAATGGGACTATGACTTTTTCACCCAATGGAAGTGTCCAAACTTCTTTAACTTTCATTTTTTTTTTTCCTTCACAAATCCTTCTTCATCTGTCAATAAATGGAACTAAATTAATGTATTGATTTATTTAGACTTTTTGTACATGTCAATCAATAAATATAATAATGTACACTTACTAATCACATCAACTTCCCACGAAATCCTTGTTTTCCCGAAGATGGCAAATCTTCATTTTGATCTTGTCGTGTTTCACTATCTTGAGTTTGCTCTTGAGGTGTTTCATTATCCTGAGTTTGTTCTTCAAGTGGTGCATCATTCAACAATTGCTCGTGTGTTGATGAAGAAGATTGTTGATGAGACATTGACCGACTCATATCCATGAACCTTTTTGATCTTGGCATACCTACAAATTAAATGAAAAATTAAGGATTATAATTGGATGTTATTGGATTGGAACCTCTTATTTACCCACAATGCTGTTGCACCAAGTAAAACTTAAACTCCTGTCAGTCTGTCAATATACTATCCAGTCTAGAAAACCCACAGCACTCCTGTCAGTCTGTCACCTCCTTGAGGAAACACAAATACTGCTTATATTTCCAGTTCAAGAACACAACTTAAGGTCTACTAGCTCAGAAACATAAATGAACCCTCAAAATTGTACAGTATGTAAAAACAATTTACTGAATATTTATTAGCAGAAATGCAAGAAGAATGAAATGTTTAACCAATGTTGATAGAAAGGTTAAAAAGTTCTAATCTCATATGAAAATACTAAACTGCAGAGTGCACAATGCTTCCATATACAGCTAGACCATATCTGGATTAAAAAGCTTATCTGGGAAAAAGCTTATCACATCATTGTGCCTCAATAAGAAAAAGTAAAAATGGGTAAAAATGCAAGCTTCAGACTTCAGACCGCAAAAAGTTAAAAATGCATTTAAAGATACCTGCAGAATGTGAAAAAAGAATCTCACCGTACCAATTTACACTCCGTATAAGTGGTATTCAGAATTTTGGATTAAAAAGAAAAAAATGAAAGTTGAGCTAATTTTATTCAAAAACACACATGAAAATCGATCGCAGGTTGTCCTAAAGTGACAGTTCACACCCAGCAAACACAGTAATATCAAGAATTAGTTGGATTGAGTATTGCGGAACACGTACAATCTGGACTCATAAGACAGGGATTATATAAACAGAACTGCATACTCCTAGAAATTCCTATGTTTGGTTTAGGATTAGCGATGAAAAGTGGAACAATTAATAATCAATCAAGCAGTGACGACGAAGTTACTACTTGATCATCCAGGTCTTAATCGTTGTCTGTCAACCTCTTTCTCAATGCAGAATAAAAGGCGGCACCACCGCCATTTCCGGATTAGTTTTACAGATGGTTCTTGAGAAATAACACAGCAGAAAAACAGTGAGAATAACTCAAGGAAGACAACTCAAGGCTGAACCAATGAGAACACCAAACACTGGTGAATTCAAACCAAAAACATTCATACACAGCAGTAAAGCATGGCGCAACATGCTGATTATTATATGCGCATACAGTGCAATCAAGAATGATTGTTAAATTGTATTTAAAAGTGTGGGATATTTTTGACTAGTCACCTGTCTTTGGAAAGAGATACCACCTTCGTCGTGGCTTTTCCTTTTACAAACGGTGCTTTTTTTTTCCCTGCATTAAAAGAAGCAAATTAGTTGGGGCCTTTTCATTGATGAAAGTTGCACAATAGAGAGTTTGTAAGCATGGACTCCCAGCTCAGACTTGCAAGTTATTAACAAGGAAATAACATATTTTAGCCCAACTCTATAGCATGTGACACCTAAACAAGGAAATTGTGCTGTAAATTTTTTTTTTTTAGTGAAAATTAAGTATAGAAAAATGTTGTAAAATATGAAAAAAAAAAAATGAATGTGTCATTTTCCTTTACTGACAATTCTTTGCCAGTTTATTTTCATATATCCACCCACACACGACCCACCCCTGCAAATCAGCAATACCATGCTAGATCTATCACTGGAAAAGAAGCAATCTTCCAGCAATGCCACCAGACCAGAGTATCATGATTTTGATTCAATCACAATTTATATATATGACCATGACTATAATAATAATAATAATAATAATAATAATAATAATAATAATAATAATAATAATAATAATAATAATAATAATCCAGCAAGCTCTATGACCCATCCATCCGTAATTCGGTAATTGCACTCAATAACCACACCCACCTTACAAAACTGAGTGAACCAATCTCCTCAAACATCATTTCTTATAGAAGAACTTCCATCAAATTTTGTTAAAACAACAAATCAATAAGCATAAATTACAAAATACAAGTCAATAAGCTGAAATTAGGCCAACACAACCTATGGACAACACAATTTGAAACACACTCAATTCATCCATCACTTCCTATGGACAACACAATTTGAAAAAATAAAAATAAAAATAAAAATCCAACAGCGTAACAATTACCTTCTGGAAATCCTGAGGCTTCCTCACAGCTATTACACGTCTCTCTCACCACAGCCTAAAATTGACGGAACGGAGCGGTGAAGTGAGGTTAGGGCAATTGTCGGAGACTTCCTTGAGCTAAAACCGAGGCGCGGTGAAGTGATCGAGCAATTGACGGAAGAACACTTGGATTCAGTGACGTGCGGGGATAATGAAATGGTGTAGTGCGGTGAACAGTCAGTGCAGGTGAAATGGCGAAGAGCTTTTGTTTTTTTTTTTTTTTGAAAACTGAAATGGCGAAGAGCTAAAATCAATTAATGTGCGATTATATTAAACTAGCGGCGGTTTCTATAACCGCCTCAAAATAATCATTTAGAACTGCCGCTAAATACATGTCGCTAAATACTCAGTTTTTTGTAGTGAGTAAGTAAACAATTGAGTTCTTATTAACTACATTCTAAATTCCACAGCCCCACATACATACGAACAAAACCTTAGTTCCCCACATAGAATATTCTTTGGTCTCAAACACATACAATATGATAATAACATATACGAACAAAACCTTAGTTCCCCACATAGAATATTCTTTGGTCCCAAACACATAATATAGGTCCTACGTCATTAACTACATTCTAAGTTCCACAGCCCTGCATACATACGAACAAAACCTTAGTTCCCCACAGAATATTCTTTGGTCCCAAACACAGGTCCTACGTCATTAACTACATTCTAAGTTCCACAGCCCCACATACATACGAACAAAACCTTAGTTCCCCACAGAATATTTTTTGGTCCCAAACACATACAATATGATAATAACATATACGAACAAAACCTTAGTTCTCCACATATAATATTCTTTGGTCCCAAAACACATAACATAGGTCCTACATCATTAACTACATTATAAGTTCCACAGCCCCACATACATACGAACAAAACTTTAGTTCCCCACATAGAATATTCTTTGGTCCCAAACACATACAATATGATAATAACATATACGAACAAAATCTTAGTTCCCCACATAGAATATTCTTTGGTCCCAAACACATAACATAGGTTCTACATCAGTCAATAACGATAACAGCAAACCAAATTCAATATAAATGCACATAAACGCATAAATAACAAACAAAAAAATGAAGACAATCGTACCTGTATTGTATTTCGACGCACCATTTCTTGTTGAACCCATTAGCTTGTACGATGATTAGACGTTGAGTTTTGATTTTAGGTGAAAATCTGTATGAATGCTCCAAATCTACGTCATAGTGTTTGCGATTAGGGCTTACAAATTTGGGGGTTTTCTTTAGTCTGTAATCTAAAACCACTCGCAATGGGAAGGAAATACACAACGAAGAATGCTAGAACAATGAAATTACATTTCTATCCTCTGTTTTAACGTCTACCAAACAACTGTTATCACTTAGGATCAAATCGGTAAGAAATAACATAGTTGAGGACTCAATTGATCATTTTTGAAAATCAAAGACCAAAATGATGAAATCCTCAAAATCGAGAGACCAAATCGGTAATTAACTCCAAAAATCAATTTTCAATTATCAAATAATTAAAACATCACTAATATAAAATTATTAAAAGTAAAAATTTTCAGGATATTTTGAAACCAAACAAGCCTTTGGGTTTGGGATGTTGAAAAGAGTGATTTACAAACAAGGGCAATTAGCCGCGACAGTGCGACACTCTCTGCTGTTTGGTACTTCCTAAGCACTTTGATTTTCGTGAAAGCACTTTGGTACCCTCCGACTACCTACGATTCTACCCAAGAGGAGTGTCTTCAATCTCAGCTTTTAGGGTTTCACAATCTCCGGGCTTCTTACATTTCCCCCATTGCAGCTAATCACTCATCTTCAGTTCTTCAGGTAATTTTTATCAGGCCGTTTATTATTTACTACTCCAAGATGAAATTCTGATCTTTCAATTCTCTCCAGCTAGTAAAATTGTGGGGGTGAAAATGGGTTCCTTTTGTTCTTTCTTGTTTCTTGTTCCTTACAATTAATTACATTGCATTCTTACCTCCTACTTTTCCTTTTGACTTCTAAAAATAAAGGCAACCCCATTGCAAAAAAATTAAAGATTTATGTTAATAGGTTCTTTTGGTTAGTTTTTTCAGACAGAGGCGATGTCAGAAGGTGGAAAATCTGCTCTCAAATCTCCTGGTAATGCAGCATTTTTTGGGGCGATTGCTCCCTCAGTTTTTTGCAGTTACTATATGCTTTTGTGAGTGGCTTTTCATATATCTGTTATCCTTTGAAGTGTATGGATAGGTAAAGATGTTGATTGGTTGTGATGGTCATTGTTATTTTGTTCTGTTGGACCAATATGTGTGTAGAAACCTGGTTATCTGGTGCAGAAAACAATAGCTGAAAATATATTAACGATGCCTGCACGGGCTTAGCTCACTGGTTCAATAGGCAATATTTGGGAGAAAAGACCAAGGTTCGAACCTCGGAGTGGCCATGTGGGGATTATACCCAAAATGGGCAGATCCCTCGTGTGTATCGGCATGTGGCCTTGGCTCCCTATCTATGAGTCAATGGGTCACCATGATTTACATCCTCTCAAATGCTCTGTCGGGATGGGTGTGGGGTCCCTTGGGATTGGGGATTCAACCTTTTGGGAGAAGAAAATATATTAATGTTATAGCATCTATAAAGCAAGAATTTAAATAATTTAATTAATTAATACCAAATGCTTTGCTTCTCTGTTCTCTGAATTTGAAGTTTTTGGGTTGTTTTATAAATGTCTTAAAGTGCCTTCTATTAATTGTATGTAGCATCCTCGAATGGAAAGGATGACGGCTCCGTGTCAAATAAAGGGAGGAAGGTTCAGTTTGATTCTGGTGATTAGATCTTTTACTGTGATTTATAATACTTAGTGGTATTTATGGACTATGGTATTCAATGACACAATGTGAGCATTATTTTTAGATTCAGTGGATGCTAATTTATCAAAATCCAATGGGAAAGCTGGTAAATCAGCTGGCAAAGGTTAGACTTCCTTAAGCAATCCTTACTTTCAAAGGTTTTTGTTTTGCCTTTTTCTTTATTTTTGATTTTTGATAATCTTTGCATGAAGGTGGAAAAGGAGGCAAGGGAGGCAAAGGTCAAACTTCAAAAGCACCTCTTCCCTTGGAGCTCAGAGTTGAACAAGGTTTGCTCGCCTCTTTTAGTTGAAAATGCTTCATTGGGTGTCAATCAGAACTAGTTGTTTGGTAAATAGAAAGTAAATAAATGGCTATTCTGTAACATCAGGTTTCCCCATTCCTGTGTTCTGTTGTGTACTTGTGTCCTGGAACTCTGGAAGTTAACTTCGGAAAGAATTGAAAGGATTCTGCTATAATGGATAGTTTGCGTTTACTGTTTTTATATTGGGTCTGATACCCTTATTCGGAATCTTTGTTGCTGTATATACAGAAATTTCAGGGAATACCAAGTGCCTGATGGATTGTGAAGCTGCTGAAATCTTGCAAGGCATCCATGATCAAATGACTATACTGTCTGAAGATCCAACAATAAAACTTTCTACGTGGGTAGCATTTTTATGCCGTTTGGTTACTTGTAATATGTCAAAGAAAGGATGCCTTAACCAGCTTGGTTGGTGTGAGTGGCCGTGCACTCTCATCCCTTAAGAGAGGTCGGGAGTTCAAAAACCCCTCTCGTATGGAAAAACCAATATGGCTAGCATTTCGCCCCTTAATTGGATTGGCCCGGTGCGAACGAGAATTAGTCTGAGTATGGTATGGATTTAAAGGTGTCTCCTATAGTTAGGGCCTACTCAAGACACCTCGTGGTCTAACCAAAAAAGAAAGGATGTCTTTTGCTTATTATAGGATTGCCAAACATGGTATTATTGCTATTTACATGCCTAAGGGTTTGAACTTTTCTACCTCTAGGTCATTTGACAAGGGATTGACGTATGCCACGAGGCATAAACTTTATGAGAATAATGAGACGGTCAAACAAGTTCTCAAGTATCCTTTCTTTTGTAAAACAATATGTGGGACACAAACATTTTATTGCTATCAATCTTTAGATCCATTTTTCCGTAACTCAGATCAGGCCTTTGAAGGAGCATGGTGTTGCTGATAGCGAGGTATCAGATTTTAACTTGTTAATGCTCGATACTCCGTGGGCTTTGCAATTGCTTACTTTCGTTTTTGGGCTTGCAGATGTGCATGATTGCCAACTTTCACCCCGAATCTACTGACGAAGTCTTTGCACTTGTCCCGTCTTTGAAGGTAAAACGCATATGGCCTCTCTCATTTAAAAGTAATGACTCACTTTATCTTTGAAATGGTATATAGACATACTAAATTGCAATAATACACTAGTGTGTCGAGTGTGGTCTTGGTTATAACTTCTATTTTGTTTAGGGCAAGAAAAATAAGCTACAAGAGCCTCTAAAAAGTGTCTTGGAGGAATTAGCTAAGCTTAAGAGCTCTTCATAAAGCCATTGAAGCAGGTGTGCAAAGGTGAGCTCTTCTATTTTGACCGTACTTTAAGAATTAAGGGTTCCTTGTTTGCGTTAAGATTAATGTGCTAATTGTCGCAGTTCTCCATGCTGCTGATATTAACAGTCGTCCCGTAGTCTCTGATAATTTGCTGGTACTGCTTGATATATGGAGCCGTTGGTTGTTTGGTCTCCAGTTTTTCGCGAACAATTCTTGCAGACCATGCTGTTAAGCTGCAAACCTTTGATCTTCTCGTATTATGTAATGTTGTTGATGTATATATCAGATTGTGATATGGGTAACTTGTATAACGTGTAGCTGTATCTTCAAATCGAAGCTGTAGAATCCGACTCTCTGAGTATCTTGTGCATTGTGCTTTGTTTGGTGTGTGTGTGTGTGTGTGTTTTTTTTTTTTTTTTTTTTTTTTTTTTTGTCAATTGTTTTTTTGTCCACTTGCACTATCCCTACACACACACACACTGATGCCACTAGACCACTTTCTCACAAAGAGTCTGTGAGCATACATCCATTAATGTGTATCCAACTATCAGCTTAGGCTTTTAGTTGAGATGGAGCACGTGCTTCAATTTGGTATCAGAGCCAGACCAAAGGTCATGAGTTCGATGGTTAGAATCCACCTTATCAGCTTAGGCTTTTAGTTGAGATTGGACACGTGTATATGTATATAAATATAGAGAGAGTTAGGATAAGACTTGTATGACTACCATCCATGATCCAATGAGAGAGAGAGAGGATAAGACTTGTATGACTTCCATCCGATGTGTCTCTTGTTTAAGCATATCTTGTGAATGTGGGGCAAATAAGATGGTCCAATATAATTCATCTTTGTTTGGCAACTTGGGATCACAATGTTTGTAAAAGCATGGGAGAATGGGTTTTAGGTATTATCTAATAAAGGATATTTTCATTCAAATGAAGCATATTGTAGGTGGTTCCTTTATATGGATCATTATAGTGAATGTAAAAAGGAATGTACCTATAATGTGAATCGTAATAACAATTGTTGAGGACTTACGATTCCAATTAATGGAATGAAGAAATTAAAAAGTGTCCCAATTTTTTCTATGGTACATTTAACATCACTTATACCCTTTGTTTTGTGAAGCTTAAACCAAACATTGTTGTACCACATTTAGAGCATTTTGAATTAAAATGTGTTGGGCTGGACTAATGAAGGGCTAAGTCCAGCAATTGGTAGTTAAGGGGTTGGGCGTTGTTGGACGGAAGCTGATGGACTAAGTCAAGCACATTACCTCTCGAAAATGTGGTGGTATATAAAGAAGAATTAATTTCAGTTTTGGTCCACGACTTTTGTGGTTCTAGCACTTTTGGTGCACAACTTTAAAATTTTTCAATTTTGGTGTCTAACTTTATTATTTTTATCAGGTTTGGACCTTTCGGCCAAATTGACGATGAAATGTTGCCAGATTTTATATTTTTAGGGGTAAAATCGTCATACCAATGAAACATCTTCAATATCTAAACAAAATGACTATAAAATCATATCTATAGGTGTTTGATCGATAAGAATAATTGGACAGATGGGCAGAAACTAGACACATATCTATGAGATTTATAGCGTCGACGATTGACAAACTTTTCTTTTTCTCTTAATATGATTTTTCTTTTGTTTAGATATTGAAGATCTTTCCTTGAGATGATGATTTTGCCCCTAAAATATAAAATCCGACAACATTTCGCTGTCAATTTGACCGAAAGGATCAAATCTGATAAAAATAACAAAGTTAGGCATCAAAATTGAAAAAATTTAAAGTTGTGCACCAAAAGTGATAAGATCTTAAAAGTCGTGGGACCAAAAGTGAAATTAATTCTATAAAGAAATAAAGTTGCATGCGCCTTCGTTATGAGCTATAACTTTTGATATAGTGATAAGTGCTCAGTTTTAACAAAAAAAGATGTGCAAAATGTGTTAGATCTAAATATGTGTCTAACCATACAGCGTAAAATCTACGAGAAACCTAACCTCGTAGTAGGTGTATTACTGGTACAGTATAAGTACCCTAACTTAGATGCTATATAATGAATATGTCCTGTATCCCATCAATACAAACTTTATATAGACATATTACTTAATGGACTGGTCCACTAAGTCTCATAATATATAATATATATTATACGGAAACTCTTACAAAATATACATCTATATCAAATGCATCCATAGAATTTCACACAAAGGACAAACATGATGCTGATGATACAAAAAGATGGCACTGCCGCAGCTATTATTGATCCATTTCAAAGCACATCAGTCAACAAAGGCAGGCAGTGGGTTACACTTCCCACACCCCAATCACTGAACTCAAGGAGATCAAACACATATCCCTCCAAATTCCCAAAACCACTTTTATCATTACGCATTTTGGTTATTAAAATGTAATAATTTTTTATAGCCAACTTGATGATACATTGCACCCAACTTCTACTATAAATACTTGATCAATCGCCATGCAGAAACTCACCCAGATCAGATCAGAGCATATATAACACAATGGCAGTCTTCAACAAGCAAAGTAACATGTCTGTGATAATGGCGCTGCTGTTTGTAGCAGTACTATGTTTGATTGTTGCCTGTGCTGATGCAGCTAGGTTGCCCCATGACCCCACGGTTTTTCCTCAAGGTGATGATAAATTATGTTCTATTTTCTAGTATTTTTTTTTTTAGTGACGATGAAAACGGGTTCGCAGTCTCTACCTATAAGTGTGCAATTCGGTTAAGGATCACATGGAGTTAAACTAGTCTAGATCGTCTATAATTGATTAGTTCAAACTAAGAAGGTCAATAGACTGTCCTTTTTGAGAGTCAAACTTGTAACTTTGTGGTTACCAAATCAATAATTTGACCAACTTTGTTAGGGCCCGTTGTCCCTAGTATTATATTGGCTTTTTTAATGATGAGTGAGACCCACATCCATTATCCAAGAGTGTGTACTGGGTAAACCCCGGTCCGGACTCTAAGTTAACCGCCCAACCAATTTTGTTAGGATTGTCCTAGTATTATTCTAGTTTTTTTATTAGTGACGAAAGAAACTCGCAATCACTATCCGAGACCAAGGTGTGAACTAGGTAAACCTTGTCTGCTTTAAGTCCCCTGACCAACTTGGTTAGGGTTGTCTCAATATTATTCTGATTTTTTGTGTGACGAGGGAAACCAGTGCACAACTGCTATTTGAGAGTGTGCATTATTGAGTAAACTTTGTGAGCTCTAATAAGTTGACAGTGTGACTAACTTGGCTGATGCCTTAATCTTATTCTGGATAATGTCAAAGATTATTGTTTTTGTTTGGCTATATTTTTGCACCTTTTCTGTTGTAAAAATATTGATAATAAGTGTGGTTTAATTTGAAGCTGGGTGTCGGTGCTGTGAGTTCATATGGAAGCCGATGATCCACTGCGGACGAGTGTGTTGCGAAGATGGATGCTGCGGATGATCCATCCATCCATCTCAACTTTCTTACATCAATCCTATATTGTTATCAACTTTATTTTTACTTCCTAATAAATAATTATTGTATCAATTTTATTTTACTTCATAATAAATAAATAAATATCAAATGTTATCGTTGAATTGAGTATCGAATTGATTCTGGTGTGATCTTAAATAATTGTCAATTTTGTTTTTATTTCTACAAACCTAATAAGAGTCGTTAAAATTAGACCATAACGAGAGGAAAGAACACCAAATTTAGAGTGGTTCAGTCAAGCCTACTCCACTACCTAAGGGAATCTCCCTTAGAATTAACTCCACTATCTGGGCCACTTTAAAACCTTGGTGGGCACCGCTACCATCGCACTCATCACTCGCAAGTAATAGCACTTATACGAACACAAACTCTTCATAGCTAAGAGTGAAACAAGACACAACCTCTTGTACCTAGGTCCCTTGCTCATCACTTGCAAGTGATAGCACTTTTACGAACACAAACCCTTCGTAGCTAAGGCCAAGGTGAGACAAGACACCGATAGCTTGTCCCTAGGTCCCTTGTGCACTAATCATTCGCAAGTCGCAAGTGATAGCACTTCTACGACCTTCACCCTTTGGTAGCATAGGATACAACAAATTCACCCTTTTGTTGCAAAGGTTGCCGCTATAAACCATAACTACACTTGGTGTTGAGACAATGATGGCAAATCATACACTTTGCAAATTGTCTCTCAAAGACTAATTGTGTATACATTTGAAGCACTATAAGATTGAGAATATATGAGTATTAAATTTGAAGTTCAAATTGTTGGGAATTTGAAAAATGTTGTAGAGATTTGTGTATACTACGTTTTTTATAGGCTGGATAGAAAATATAGGAATATTCTGTGACGTGTGCAGGACACTGCCTTAAAAGCTTAATGCCGGAGACTGTGCGGTCTTTTTCTCGGACGCTTTCGACTGGCTAACACAGAAGAGCTCACGTATTCTTTGCACTTTGAGAGATACGTAGCAATTGAGCGATAAAGCTTATTTTTCCAGTGTAATCTAAGAGGTCTGGGAAGGCAGGTATTTATAGTAGTGAGAATACCTGACTTCCCTGTATCAGCCACAATCAACCGGAAAAATAGACGGAAAAACGCAAAGAGAGGAACGCTAATTGCGTTCGTAATTGCCCACTAACGCGCACACTTCTCTCTTGACCACTGACTTTATTATTAGTGCGTAGACTAAGAATAATTCTGTGGAGTAGCGAAAAAGTCGGACAAAATATAATTGCCGCGTAAAACTTCGACCACACCACACCGCGACGTGCGTGCGAACCGAGCCGAGCGGGCTGGCGGCGGCGCGCGCGGGGACTCCTCCTTTCCCTCCCTTGAAAAGATTTCAAAGACCCCAAAAGGAGTGTCATTTAAATGATGGGAAAGTAGTCCCTAAGAAACCAATGTGGGACAAGTAGCAAGGCAAAAACTCCAACATCCTTGAATGTATTCTCCAACAATCCCCCACACATTCAAGAGGTGTGAAAGAAGGATGTTTCAGTACAATCCCGAAGGCTGAACTTAATGTCAGTGTATAAACTTGAACTGACACGTAGTGACCTGAGTAACTTACTTCCCAGGAGTGAACTAAGTCTTGAACTATTTGAGAAGTGGGTAGTTTTGAACTCTGGTTCACATATCAACACTTCAGGATGTCCTCCATGTAGGTACATAAGTCTTTTCACGGCTTCGTTTGACCACTAAAGTGGTGTCCACCTTGAATTCCTTATCTCTTATTTTAAGCCCATTTCCCTTGACGTGTCAAGGATAGCTTTCCGGTTTAGTCCTTTTGTTAGAGGATCTGCAATATTCCTCTCGGACTTCACATACTCTAGTGTGAGTACTTCATTCACAATTAACTGTCTTACAGACTCGTGTCTGACCCTTATGTGTCTTCTTTTTCCATTGTAGGAACTGTTTTTTGCTACACATATGGCAGTTTGTGAGTCACAATGAACAGATACTGATGGCGTAGAATTCCCCCACAACGGCACGTCTGCCAGTAGGTTTCTCAGCCATTTAGCTTCGTGCCCAGCCAGATCAAGGGCTATGAACTCAGCTTCCATTGTTGACCTGGCTATACATGATTGCTTCGTGGATTTCCACGACACAGCAGCTCCTCCCATGGTAAACACATACCCACTGGTGGAGCTTACGTCATCACTGTCATTGACCCAGTTTGCATCACAATATCCCTCCAGGACATTTGGAAACCCACTGTACTGTAGGCCCCACTCAATGGTGCCTCTCAAATAGCGCAGTACTCGTTTCAGGGCTTGCCAGTGAACCTCACTTGGATTGTGAGTGTACCGACTGAGTCTATTGACTGCAAGAGCGATGTCGGGTCTGGTATAGTTCATTAAGAACATCAGACTTCCTATTAATTTTGCATAATTTTCTTGTGCCACTCCTGCTCCAGGGTGTTTTTATAGTTTGACACTGGAGTCATACGGCGTTGGAGCCGGGTTCACTTCATAACTGTCAAACTTCTTTAACAGTTTTTCTGTATAGTGACTTTGTGATAACTTGTAGTTATTTTCACTTTGTATGACTTTTACTCCAAGTATTACATCAGCCTTCCCCAAGTCTTTCATGTCAAATTTTCCAGAAAGTGACCTCTTGGTTTTCTCTATCGCTTCGACATTGGGGCTGAAGATTAGCATGTCATCTACATAGATGCACATGAGTACCACGCTAGACTCAACTTCTTTTGAGTATAGACAAGCATCTGATCTGTTTACCACGTAACCCAGATCCAGTAGTGTGGTGTGAAATTTTTCATACCACTGTTTTGGAGCTTGTTTTAATCCGTAGAGGGATTTCACTAATCTACAGACCTTTCTTTCTTGTCCTGGTTCTACACACCCAGGAGGTTGGTCCATGTAGATTTCTTCTTCTAGGTCTCCATTTAGGAAGGCCGTTTTGACATCCATTTGATGGACTGTCCACTTGTGCGCTGCGGCTAGCGCAAATAGCACTCTTATTGTTGCTATTTGTGTCACAGGTGAGTAGGTACAGAAGTAGTCTTCCCCAAACTTCTGTCTGTAGCCCTTGGCTATTAGTCTCGCCTTAAACCTTTCTATTGACCCATCGGGTCTTAGTTTCCTTTTAAAGATCCACTTGCAACCAATCGGCTTGGCTCCTTTGGGAAGTTCTACTATTTCCCAAGTGTGGTTAGACTTTATTGAGTCTAGTTCACTTTGAACGGCTCCTTTCCAGAATACCGCATCAACTGAGCGCATAGCCGCATCGTAGGTTGGTGAGCTGTCGTAGGCTCCCAAATTAAAACCTTACAAACGTAGTAGCGGGAGTAAGGATCGATCCCACGAGGAGTGACTAGTTTAATGTATGTGTTCAAATTAAAGTAAAGGGGGTTTTGGTATGAAGGTGATAATCAAAGAAAATAAACGAATAAAGCAATGAAACAATATATTGAAAACACTCAGAATAGAAAACCTTGGTTAGTAAAGATCCACCACTGGAATATAACACTGATCATTGATTCATAAAGCAATTAATATGCAATTGAATATTTGTCGTGAAATTATTTCATTTCCGTTTTCCCTTAGTTGTAGGTAACTAAAGCACACGTGGTTTAATTACCCCTAACTACTAAATAACCTAAGACAAGCGCTATAGATTTAATTTAATAGCAGCAATAGGAACTAGGAAAACCGACAAACTAAATAACACAAGCACAAGCGGTTGCATTTAATTTAGGAAAATATTCTACCCGAGTCCAATTATCACTAAGCCGTCAATAATTAACCCAGTTGCTACTGAATATTAGAATAATTTGTAGCACAACATTATCTAATATAGCAAATAATTATATCAAGTAAATAACTAGTAGGCCTCCCTAGCAATTAAATGATACAACTATTCAAATAACTTAGAAGAATATTTAATACCCAAATGCATAAAAATTATATAATAAAAATAAATACATAATCTTACAGCATAATCAATTCCGGGGCTTCAATTCACTAAACCAAGCTAAAGAAATTAGCAATGTATGGACATTGATAACAGCTTTACAGAATAATCGAGAGGGGAAGAATGAACGTTTTACAATAAAACACTTATACTATTTATACACTTTCTAAATTAACCTAAATCAATTTCAACCATCCGCTCCCTACTTTTCCTCCGCACGTCCGAAGCTTTCCATGAGAATCGCTCTGCCATTTCCTCTGACCAACGAATTGAAACAAAGTCATATGATATATTATTATTATTATTTTGTTTGTCTAATTGCAATCATGGGACCCACAAACTTAATATATATTAAGGTTCATAATATGTATATATATATATATATATATATATATATATATATATATATATATATAAGATTATAGTACGTAATAAATATATATATTAGTATTCTATATATTATATATTATATATTATATATTATATATTATATATATTCTATATTATATATTATATTAAACATTATATATAAAAAGAACTAATTATTAGATAATATTAAATAACTAATGCAAAATTATTATAAAGATGTACCTAAAATATGAGGGTAAAATATGCCTATCAAATTCCCCCACACTAAAACATTTGCTTGTCCCCAAGCAAAAATATTATTCGCGAAGTAAATTAAAATGAAATTCCAAAAACTCATAACATATCATGAACAATAATCTGAAGCACCCTGCAATTAATAAGTTAGCACCCCTGTCTGAAAATTGAGTGAACTAAATAAGTAAGCCCTCACAGGAATATCACTCATCACTCAAGTGTTTGATGGGTATAGATTTCGCTCAAGTTCATTCCTATAAAATTGCTCTACCATAGGCTTGCATATCTTCTCAATCACCACTACAAGAGTCATGCATGACACAAATCGTAAGGACTTTTCACAGGTTGTAATGGGGCTAGGGTTAGGGTAAAGAATATTTTAGGAAAGTAGTATAAACAAAAGCTTCAAACTAGAGGAGCAAATAAATACAAGTAATCCAACACCCTCAATTTCCATTCAAAAACACATCCTATTGAGGCTCCAACATGACTATCATTCTCAAAAGTATAGAATGCTTCCTCAATATTACCAGAATTTCCCTTTGCTTCATTTATT